CAAAGCATGAACAAACAACAGCACCACAAAAACTGCTGCACACATTCTTCGTGACCGCGCAAAAGTGTTTTCTAATCATAAACACATGCTCTTGCAGCATAAGTGAAAAGTCTATTTATTTAGTTACTCAGTCATCCACTGATGTGTCAACAGTTAAAGTCACTAACATTCCTAAGCACGAGCGACTTACAATAATTTGCCAACTCGTACACCAGATCTTCGTACTTATTTTCTTTATCAGCGCTCTTTAGAATTATATAGCGTCCATTTCTAATTTTTTTAGACAAAGCTATCTACCAGTTAAAGCTCTATGTTAGGTGGCTTATTCGGCTAGATTTTGCTGCATGTCATCATTGCACTGTCAATCTACCCAATACAACTCTATTTCTCCAAGAAAGCATTTATTTTGTAATCAAAGCAAGAGCTTAATCTTATTAAAAACCGGTGAGCAATCTTTACGACTGCTTTTGAACTTCTGAGCTTTTCCTAACCGCTTACTGTCATTTTTCAAGGCTGTGTATACGAGGCACGCTCTTTTGGAGAAGCATTTTCTTTTTCTTATTTTGAACTCTAGTTATCAGTGCCGCGTATCAAAGAGCCGGTGGATTTGCTATTTGTGGATCTGTAGAGGAAGTTTTCTATCCGGGATCCCACTACGCATGAAGAAATTTTTCAAGGAAGTTTATAAGCTGTGAAATTACTAACTAAAAGCGTGAATACTGAGTAATCGCCCACTTTAGGCTCAAATTTGAAAGTAAGTTTTGAAGGAGCAACCATTGTGCGCAGGACATTTCCTAATGTACATTTTTCGTAGTTTTGCTGTAAAACTGGTTTAGAGAGTTCAGATCTAGAGGAGTGGAAGTCAATGTTTTGCAGCATCTCAGAAGGTCTTTCTGTCATATAGACGAGCAGCTCAGGGGTTTTTGAGCAAATCGCAGATGCAGCTGGACAAAAACTATTACCAGGCTTTGAAGTGTCATGGAATGAGAAACTCAAATCAATATGATTCTTTTGGTCTTGTACACTACAGTCTTATAGATGTGGCTGTGCAGTTGGAGCAGAATAGTGTAATAACAATCTAAAATTATTTATCAAAATTTGAAGAACAGCAGACTTGTACCTACATTTTTTAAAGGTGTCATTATAACCTACGATGCCGTAAAACCGCACGTATGAAAGGTGACTCTCAAGTGGCCGATTGCGCAACAAGTTTCATTCATTTCTCGAACTCTCTAGAACATTCTTTAATAGCCACCACTTTTTCTAAATCTTTGGGGTTTATAGAAATTAATAGGGCTCAATATATAACGGCTAACCAAAAATGTCTCAAAAAGCCCCTTCTCTCGAATTTCAAAATTATGCCCGTCTAGGTGAAGCATCCAGAAATTTCAGGAAGCTGGACGCAACCCCTGTTATAAGAAAAAAACCTTTTTTCGCTCCCCTTCCCTACTCTCTCCCCCCCCCCCCGTTCTTCTAAACCGGCGATGAACACAGATATGTTGACCTTCCTTCAAGCATGAAAACAGTTGAAGTTTGAGATAAGGTTTTCGGTTGTTCAAATTTGCGAAGAAGAACGAAAGAGGCAATAAGTTTTTCAATTTTTTGCGTAAGGTTAATAACCTCAACATGTGGAAAGATTTACTGTCAACTTCACTGCATTTTCTGAAGCTTTTCAAAAACTTCAAGCTCAGAGACATTCGATGGGTCTTTTCAATACGGTAAGAATGGTCTCAAGTGAGGAAAAAAGGTTAGAAGCTATTCTTGATGCATGTGATCTGATGTTTGAGAATTATGAGGTTAGTACACTGAAGTCAAGGTTGCTGGCAAGTAATAAGCAGTAGGCAGGAAAGAAAGCGCTGAAATGATTGTGCAGTAGTTGAAACATTTCGGGGTAATGATTCATTTCGAGCCATAGATGCTGCACCCAACATGACTCAGCAGTCTCTACACCTCTCCTTCGCTTCAGAATATCGAAAGAACTAGTTTATGTACTATCCTGTGCTGGTTTCTCAAAGAACCTTGAGGAGCTCTAGCAGATGTTTAGGATTCATTTAGCTTAGTTTACCTTCTCATGGATTCATGTGAAACAAAGAAGTGAATCTTAATGTTCTTAGAAGCCTAGCGACCAAATATGTGCCAAAAACTGTCGGGTTTGATTTTTCCCAAATATGATAGCTGCGGAATGAGTTTAGAATGTATACACTGTTACGACTATAGCTATGTGGGCGATCAAGTATTTGACAGTTGCCGCCCTTGTGATGACTAAGCGAGTAACCAACGTAGTAACCACGTTGAACTCAAATCCAAAGAATTCTCAAGGATTGAATCAAGAGCCAACTATGTGTATGTACAGTTTTCTGTACAGCAATTGCTTTTGAAATATGGAAGTTGCAACATTTTGATTGAAGCAATCGTGCTCCATTCGTGCTTCAAAAATTAAGCAATTTTTCGGGGAAGAACCTATTGTACATAGAAGCTCGCTGGTGTAATCAAAATCAATTTTTGGCCTAGCCACTAAACGCCAAGCCCGTTGCATCTCCAAGGTTTGATGTAGGGATTCCCGGAAATACAAAGCTTACAGTTTTTATTGAACTCGCTCACCTTGTGCCACATACATGCATAGCATCTTGGGATCACATTTAGAGCTTCTTGCGCAAGAGATTCCAAAGGGAGGTGGCACTTCCGGCAAGCAACATCAGGATTAGACAGATTGCATCTCTGTTTGCTGCTCCTCAGCATACAGCATTCAGGGACAAAAGGGCTTTTTGGGGTCCGGTCTCGCATTGAATATGATTGACAATCTTAGTAAGGATGGTAACACTCGGAAGCGCCATGTGATGGCTGCAAAGAGAAAACATCGAGTTTATTTTCCAGCTCTTTCCTTTTTTTAAAAATATTCTTGGGACCACTTCAAGTTTTATACTCAGTACATCCGAACGATACTAACAACATTCGGGAAAGAGGGCGATACCCTTGTCCTTCTTCCTACTTTCAATGCATTTGATCATACCTCTACACTTATCCTAAAAATAAAAGGAAGATACATGTGATTCGTGAGATACCTTTTATCGTTCACTCAAGTCAAGTACATGAACTCTTCTGCTGCTTGTCTGATACATGGTTCATAGCATCTTTAAATCAGAAGGGTTTTACAAAATCAACGTGTTATCAATTAGGCCCGAAAATAGAAGAGCGGCAAGTTGCGAGGGGGCTGGGGGAGGGATGAAGAGCATGAACACATCAAATTAGATTTTGAATTCTGAAATCAAAATTTTGCACCACAGCTTCTTCAATTAGGTGTGAAAGACTCCAGCACTAAGCTGTGCCGCTGGATAAATTTAGTAGCAACAGGATTCATCTTTAGCCAAAGCCAGGAGTTTTCATAAACCTCTCTTTATGGGAGAAATTGTTCCAATGTCACCGTTGTTACATTGTTGCTAGGCGCTCAGTATTCGTACTGCTCTACAAACATTGAGATACATAAATTTCACAATCGGGCTACCGTTTGAACGGTTGTTATGGTTATGACTTAAACATGAAAGCTATAAAACTGAATACATCAGGCTTAGAGTTTCTCTATTCAACCCCTTCACCTTTCATTTCGAAATCTCCGTGATGAGTCAAAATTCAAGGTGAAAAGATAACGGAAACTTCACAAATTGAAAATTAGGCTTAAAGTTTAGGGCATCTAGACACTGTGTCTATTATACAATTTAATTGTGAACAAACGGTCCTTAAGACAAAGTTCAAATGGTTCACTGACTGAGGAATCATTGAATAACAAACAATGAGTTTAATTGTCCTAAATTTCAAGCCTAATTTTAACTTTTCAAAATCTCCGATATCACGTTGTTTTATGGCTGCAGGAATGTAATTCTTATCTGTAATATCTATCGAAACTAGGTAATCACACAGCGATGCCCTCTTTCACTTGATGATTCTGACTTAGTTCATGCGACCTTGCCCTAGTCTCTGAGCTATCAAGGTTTTTTGTGGGACATTTGCTTACCAAATGCACCACGACTTTGCAAAAAGTGGTGGTAGGAACCGAATTTTGCGGGACAGAAGCCGGATCCGTTTGGCGCGCAATTTCTGAGAGGTGCACTAAACAAATTTACACGTGCTTTTGCATGTTGGACTTTCATAAAGTTAGCATGCGCTATGCAGATTTGGGCTTAGAACGCTGGCTGGAACACGCTCTACGAATCACACACACACACACACACACACACACACACACACACACACACACACACACACACACACACACACACACACACACACACACACACACACACACACACACACACACACACACACACACACACACACACACACACACACACACACACACACACACACACACACACACACACACACACACACACACACACACACACACACACACACACACACACACACACACACACACACACACACACACACACACACACACACACACACACACACACACACACACACACACACACACACACACACACACACACACACACACACACACACACACACACACACACACACACACACACACACACACACACACACACACACACACACACACACACACACACACACACACACACACACACACACACACACACACACACACACACACACACACACACACACACACACACACACACACACACACACACACACACACACACACACACACACTTTAGCCCGTTATTATGAAAAGTTAAACTCTAGGTTTTGAATTTTTTTAGTAAAGATCACATTCCTGATTTCCGCAGGGTAAGTCTACATATGCTTTAGCACACAAGTGAGAGTGCTAAGTTGTCCTTTGCCTACGTCTCTGTCATGTCTAAGTGTCCACGTGAGAAATCCCTACAAAACTTGTGCTTACCTACATTCAAGTAGATTGATCAGTCTGTTTTTGAAAAATACATTGCAAACGAATTTATTCCGCCCAAAAAGCCCAAAATTGGAGACTACTGGTACAACTTGTTGTAGATATCTCATATGTCTAGTTTATTGCAGAGATCAGAAGCACAGCAGCAAGTCGTGACACTGCCCACTTTTTCGCAGCCTTGTTTCTAAAAAATTTCAAGTACGTAGCTGTGTCTCTGTTTTCTATCGAGCAAACGCAAGAATAGCGAATGAAGTTCCTTGGCGTAAAGAAAGACAGTGACTGAAGATCACATGTTCGAACAGTGTAATGCTTACCTTGCAGATCCGCCCTCCATAGTCACAGCTATACTGTGTGATTATACCTGTCTTCCTAAATAGGTAACTTCAATCACGGATATTTTATGCAAAAAATTGGTAAATCATACACGAAACAATGTTTCGTTATCCAGGGGCACACCTCTATACTTGGTGGGTGACTTTTTTCCGTTCCAAGTCCTGTAATCTGTAATTAGAGGAAGAGGAACATAATACAGGGATATCCTAAAACTATGTCCCCACTGTTTAATCGCTTATATCTCTTCTCCAAAGAAGTCTTTTGTTTACCTTCTGGTACCACATTTTAGAGCTGGCTTGCATGTGAAGGGATTCATCGATCGCATTTCATTTAGTGTAGGATTACGGAGAGAACTTCGAAGAGCTTGGAGGGCAATATTTTGTAAAAGAAAAAGTAGAAAACGACGTGAAAACTCTCACATTAGGCTAAGCTGCTGATTCCGGTAGCACGTTTCGAGCCGTTGCTGCACATGGTGCAGCACGCGAATTTACTGGGACTTCTTGAATTTCACACTGAGTTTTATCATACTCCAAGGATGGCTTAGGCTATCATGTCAATGGCTTAGGCCCGTACTTTCAAGATAACTTTATGTTGTCACGCCGCAGAAACTTATTTAGAAAATAAAGTCACAAATCAAATAATGGCTTCAACATGGTGCGGCAGCGCGAACGATGCGTGCAACGTCGCAACTTTCATTTGCTTCAATTTCCGAAAACAGCGTTTTTGATACCAGTAGATACCGTGGGTGACATAGGTGGATTTAGTTATCATTCGATATTGAGAGCTGTTTCTAATTCTTTTTCGATGTGTCTAAGCATGTCTAGAAAAAGCTCCACAACCCTGCACAAAGTTGAGTATTAAACACGTTGATACTCTACGAAGGGGTTCAGATTTTTTTAAATGAAATTCTGCAAACCGGCAGCTTTTGCACAGTGACGCAGTAGTTCCCTCCGTTCCTACAGCAATGAAGAGCGATCGATGAGCCGCTCCATGCTGCAAATCTAAGTTCAAAACGGCTCTACAGAATGACACCCTGAAGAGAGGCAAAAGACTTCTAAGCAAAACTGAATAACCTTGTATAATAACAGCTTGGAAAGAAAAGAATGTCACATGTCGGGGTTTCTCGTCTGAAATTGATATTTTTCAGGAATTGGAGCATCTGAAAGCCAAAATCTCAAGGATGAAGTTGTGGGGGTTGACAGTACAGTAGTTCCTTATTCTTCGCCTTTTATTTTCCTTTCATGAATTCTAACCATTAGTACCGAGTGAGATAAAGGCGTACGTCTGCTACATGCAATAACAAGTGAAAGCTTGTATGGGCATAGATCCGATTTTAAAGGTTATAAATCTGTTAATGGACTTAAACCAACCTTGTTAGATCACGGCGCACAAAGATACTTGAAGGTTCTCTTTCAAAGCTTGCCTTGCCCTATCGAATAGCGTGTCACACACATATATAGTGCTGTTTTGTTGCTCTGACATAAAAGGCAACATTCTTTTCTTTCCAACCGTATAATCGACGTTCAAAGGCAGTGCCTCGTCAAGGTTGAGGTACTAGGTTACGGGTATTATAAGGATCCTTTTTCAAACCACCACTGTCAAGTACAATTTGTTTGGGTATTCAAGCAGAGGAAAGACAAGATCTGATAAGCTGAAAAGAAATGTATACCATTAGGCACGTCTTTAAACGCTGATTCCAAATCTGCTTTCTCTTTCTGTGAACAACTTTCTGAAAGAAGTCAAGATCATTTCGCCCAAATTTCTCAAAGCGGCGTAAAATCAGCGTGTACAAAAACCTGCGGATTATCAGTGGTTTTGATCTGATATCCTTGTAGTCAATATATGTGATACTAGATTGATCACCCACTTGCAGACGTTTTTGAACAGATTGACAATTTCAGACTTCCAAAAGCTTGTGACTTCTTTCGAATAGTTATCCCATAGAAAAAAAGCAGATTTTAAATCAGAGTCTGAAGGCGCGTCTAATGACATGCATCTCCCTTCGATGCCAGATCAATTGTCATTTCCTAGTTAGAGTGCATTCAATAGGTATTTAAGCTCGGAATTTCAATTTTCGAGTTTCGACACGTCTTTTCCGACGAACGCCTTCTTATCGACATGATCGAATCTGCGGCGGAACAGATAACTCATCGTACACCTGCGGAGGATTCAAAAAAAAACGGTCTCAAAAACAGTGTCCTGGGAGATTCGCACACCGCGAAATATAGCTGTGGTGTGGTTCGTGGTCACCCCACAAATCTCCAGGCCAATCCAGCTGAAGGTTGTTTCCCCGTGCCGAGAAAATAGCGTTGTGCATGGCATCCAAAGCAAAAAAGTACAGGCGACAGGGTCTTCGTGCCAGAGTCTTCCAACTTTCCATTTAAACTCGTGTGACCTAACTTGAAGAGTGGTAAACGCTTCAAAAACGGTCATTTCACCTGGTTTGAAGCTCAAATTCGGATTCTACGTGTCGAAAAGCCCTGAAACCTGCAAAAATATGAAAGTGCAAAATTTGCCGGGACACTGTCTTCAAAGGATTTGTTGCGAGCTTGTACTAAGATATGGTTTTACAGTGTCTTGTTTTTCTTTGAAATCGCAAAAATCCTAAGACTCAAAGACACGGCCTGCAAACTTGTTTGTTGGAGTAGACTTACGACTTGATACGACTAACACACCTGAGTAACATTTGAGCGCTTGCGTGCGGGCAATGAAAGCCACAAGGAGAATAACTTGCACAAACGAAAACATCTGATGAATATAATAGAGTCTAACTTGAGGGAGTTTTATACTGGTTGATGAATTGCATTCTTGTCATAAAACAATTCTTATAATCTCACACTTTTTTTTAACCTCGTTAACGTACGCTGAGGAACCGCTATCACGATGTCGCATCATAATACGATTTGGCCGATTCTATCGAAAATTTTGAAATCAATGCGGCGTCAAATCTGGTACAAGAAGCTTTATGGCATGCTAAGCTTGGTCTTCAATATTGCAAAAAAATTATTGTCTAGCTCTTATCAAAGTCACTATGACCTGCTTAGTCACAGTATGGCGAAATAGACCAAAGTTTGAGATAGCATCAGTGTTGTGTAGTTAGTCAGATATGGCCATTGAGAACTGCAAAGCAGCGGTGTTTGATGAAAAGACTACTAAACCTTTGTTTACCTCACATTTACTTTTTAAAAGGCGTAAGCTTTGAAGCACAATACAATGCTAAACACTATTATAATCCACTCTCAATGTTACCATCATTTACCTTTTTGTCAGTGGATCATTTGAAGTTTTGCTGCGTTGTATACATGCAAGCCTACTATCATTCATCAAAATGACTCCCAATCTCGTTGATTTGCAAGGATGAAAAAGAGAAATTTTGAAACAGGATGATCAGGCTGGACACTACTGCCACTTGCTTTTTTCAGCCACCATCGCATTTCTTGCATTTTAAAAAAATTAGAGGGATGAGCACCTGAACCCTCTCAAAGGCATTTAAGTCAATCTCTCCACGTAAAAGTCTTGAAAACTTCTGAGCTTTCTTGATGAGGTGAAAATGCTCTCACAAACTTTGAACTGCTGATATTAACGGACGAGCTCAAAATCCCAAAGGCTAACCATATTTCTACAAAACTCGATATTTGATGTTTAGGAAGTGCTGAGATTGATTTACCATATTGCTTAAACGATAATGCGGTTTTGCGAAAGCTCTCAAATTGTTGTGATGCAATCACGCCTTTAGAATTGGATTATCTTTCGTGGAAATTTTCCGTGAACAGAGATTGGACATAACCCCAAATGTCATTATATCTCTCTCTGATTTGAATCAGGTTTTGCGAATTAGTCAAAAGTAACTGAGATTTTGAAGTTTTAAGAGCTCTCCACTTTGACCTGGTAGTCTGTAATTGTGCAGGTTGCTTTGATCTTGGAGGATAAATTTTTGCGGTGGATTCAAAATGCTCAGTGCAGCTATTTTTTTCTAACTATGCACACGACTTCATTGTTGTACAAGTTTTTGAAAACCAAGCCTTGGAATGTAAAAACGTGACAGTCTTGGGTGATGTTAGAGCTTGTCCTCCAATATCAACGATTACTCAAAGTCTATATCTATAAAAACGTCCTTCACCCTAATTATCAATAAAAAGGAGAAAAAAGGAGAAGAAATAGTGAGATTTAGATTTATGTCCGATCTACTGCTCAGGGGAATTTCCATGAAAAGTACCTGAAATTCGAACACGCGATTGCATTACAACAATATGAGAGTTTTCGCAAAACCGCATCATCATATAGGCAAGATAACAAATAAGCCCAGCACTTCCTGAATATTAAACATCGAGTTTTGTAGAAAAGTGACTAATCTATGGTGATTTCGCTGTCCGTCAATATCGGCGATTACGCAAAGTGTTCTTCACCTCATAAGAAAGCTCACGAAATTCTATGACTTCTGCTTGGCATGTGAAAAAGCTCGTAAACTCTGCAAACAAGCTTATTGTTAAAGCGGATCAACTCTCAATGCTGTCAAAAGCAAAATTTCACGTGATTGTTTATCTTCATTTACGAGGAGAGGTCGGAGGTGCTGCAAATGTTTCATACTTCAAGGTGTAGCTGTAAACAAAATTTGAGAGTCAAAGAAGCAACGGTGATCGAATCAAGCAAGTGGATCTATAACAGTGTTTAGTTTGGGGCAGTGGCTCGACAATCTTTACAAATTTTTTTGCTTACTCGGGGTGCATGACGCTAATCCAGAAAGTCGACCTTATATAATACGGAAATGTTGCAAAACAGCCTTTCCCAAGGCCCCTCATACTCAGAGTTTACAAACTAAGGTGATCTCGATCGGGTCAAGACTAGAAAGCAGGGGAATGGAGGAAGTGGCTCGAGAAATTTGCGGGGAGGGGGGGGGGAAGGAGACATCATACGCACTGATTATCTTTTGGTTTCACTAAATTAATCTGCTACTATCTGTTTATCAAGTCATCAAATAATATTAGGTCGGTGCAAAAGTTTTGTCAGTTTTTTCAATCTATCGGCAATCACGCTAGAATGAAAATAAACAAACGCTTTAAAATGTATCCAATGCGGAATGTCTTCCTCTATCGAACTACTAAACTCTCATTGTGTTTCGTTGCGAGAGTGACGAGATATTTGCTGGAAATTACAACCACTCGTTTTTATTATGTCCAAATTTCGCTAATTTTTAAAATCTTTGTATGAGACTTTCGGAGGCGCCCTAATAATATAGGGCAACCCTTTTGTCAACAGATGCAATTTTTGTAACCCTACAACTTGTCTTTCAGAATTTCTACGATTTATTTTTTGAAATGATCAGATTTTACGTTCAGCTTATTTTAACCTTGTAGAACATAAAATGTTAAGCACTTCAGTCACCATTCGATGCAAATTTTTCTCCTCTTTCTAATACTTGTCTTTGTTTGCCAAGACAGGCGAAATTTATGGGGAAAACCGCAGTATTTCTCTTCAGGAGTGCGCACTGACGTAATCTATGTTTCAAATTCTTCATAATTTGAAGATAATCATATGTGCACCTACCGCATTCATTTTAAAATGGAAAATGAAGTTCAAAAGAGGCCGTAAATTCTAAATTGTCGCCTTCGGGTCTTCGGGCCTTCGGGGTTGTATCATATTTGTATATTCCTGACAACCAGTGCTCGAATAAGGCTCAAAATTTGCTGTTATACTTTCAAAGCTTGTAGTTAGAATTATCTATGTCGAGATAATCCAGTATTAATTATATTTGAATGCCAAATTTTGTTTCCTCTACTTCTAGCTACCACCGATCTCCCTCATAGAAGGATCACAGCCGGTTAGTCGCGAGGCTACGTGGGGCGTCCCCAGGTGGCGGATAGGGGGATAATCGCCGACCAAAAGCGACCCCGCGCCTGCTTTGATAAGCAAGCGAAGCCGGGGGACGGACTCCCTGCCTCCACCAAAAGCTTGCACTCTAATCTCCCGGGTAGGTGTGTGGGGAGGCGAGTTCGGAGTCGCCTCCAACAAATAAGCTCCGATCGTCCCTCGCGGGGGTTTTGAGCCCAACAAGCTATCCCTGTGAGTAAGATCTTGTTCGACACAGTGATAATATGGAAAGCTCCTTTAATCTTGGAAGAGCCACTGGTAAGGCAGCGCCAGTGGGGACAAGGTTTGAAAGGCGATCTAGGCTGCAGAAAACGAACGGACTATGATGACGATCTGTACTTACAACGCGAGGACGCTGGCATCGGACGCATCTATCGAAGATCTCATGATGCAAGAAAGGAAGACCAAGTACGACGTCATCGGACTGACCGAGACAAGGAGGCACCACCCGCTGAACGCCACATTTGAGACTGGAGAAGAACTGTTCCTAGGAACATGCGACAGTCGAGGAGTAGGTGGAGTGGGAGTCCTTGTCAACACGAGTTTGGCCATGAACATCGATTCGTTCGAACAACTTACTACTCGAATCGGACGTTTGCGAATATCAAGATGTGGATCAATCCCTGCCTTGACCGTCTTCATTGCGAATGCCCCAACATCCAGCTACGACGAGGACGAACTTGAGGAATTCTATATGGACTTGGAGAAGTTCTACAGAGAAGATCATACTCTCTACAAGATCATCGTCGGTGATTTCAACGCGAAGATCGGAACAAGAAGATCGACTGAGGAACTTCACATCGGAACCCATGGTTTGCAGTGGAACGAACAAGGGGAGAGACTGTCCGAGTTTATCATGACGACGAGGACTATCCATGGAAACTCACAGTTCCAAAAGCCCTCTTCCCGACGCTGGACCTGGGAATCGCCCGGTGGAGAGTACCATAACGAGATTGACCACATCATCGTCAACAGAAGGTACTGCCCGACGGACGTCGCTGTTGTTCCGAAGTTCTACAAGGGATCAGACCATCGTCTCCTACGCGCCAAATTCTACTTTTCGCGGAATGGAGAGAGAGCCGTCAAGTTCAGGAAACATTGTCCCATGAGTACCACCAACTGGGATCTGTTTTCTTCGATATCCGGCTCATGGCGAGATACCATGATGGACAACATCGACGAAGAATACGAACGGTTCATACAACATCTCCACGATTGTGCCAAGGAAGCTCAGAGTTTAGGAAATACGAGAAGGCGTCTCACCACGGAGACTTTGGAGCTGATACGCCAACGTGGATGCGCACGAGCCACAGGCAACTACCGACTGACGTCCGAGCTTGCGAAGCGATGCAGAGAAGCGATAAAAGAAGACCTCAAGGAGAGAAGAGTAGCAGTGATGGTTGACGCCGCGGAGGCTGGAAGAAGTATACGCAACGCCCGCCGAAGCTTCGTCAACTTCAAGACAAAGATGACCGCACTTCGTTGTCCTGACGGAACCATAACTGCTTTCCGACTTCTACTCGGATCTCTTTGCGAGCCACGTCCACCTTCCACCATGCCATCTCAAGGGGACGAGTATGTCGCACCGCCTGTTCTTCCTTCCAAAATTCGTCATGCTATCATGTCGATGAAGAATTGTACAGCACCCGGTCCCGACAGGATTAAGCCGGAACATCTAAAGAATCTTTCGCCAGTTCTCATCAAGACTTTGGCAAGGCTCTTCACGCGCTACCTGACGGAGGGCAAGGTTCCAAGACAATGGAAGACCAACAAAACCGTGTTGCTGTACAAGAAGGGAGATCCCTGCGACATCGGCAATTATCGCCCTATCTGCTTGTTGTCTGTAGTCTACAAACCCCTTACGCGAGTTATTCTCAAGA